GTGGGAATTTTCAGAGAAGATGGATATACAAACGACATTATTTATTAAAAGTCTCACCTTACCTATTTCTGTACGCATATTTTTAAAAATATGCATGATTTCGTCTATGTGGACAATCTGTACTCTATATCTCGGGTAACGTGATGTTGAGAAAACGTCTGTAATGATGACAAGAAATTTAGTTTCCAACAAATACAAAAAGGGCTGGGTTGTTAATGAAATTTCGATAATATCCACAATACTAATAGTATTGTGTCAGATATCATAAATGTATTGTGGTATACTAATACTATTGTCTCAGATATCATAAAAAGTTTAATGGTGAAATTTGCTTTTATTTGGTAATTCTCTGTATTTATTGTGGTAATTTAATTTTGGCGGTAAACGAAAAGACACATTTTCGTCTCTTTTCAACGTCTCTCTTCAAAGACACATTTTCGTCTCTTTTCAGATATCATAAAAAGTTTAATGGTGAAATTTGCTTTTATTTGGTAATTCTCTGTATTTATTGTGGTAATTTAATTTTGGCGGTAAACGAAAAGACACATTTTCGTCTCTTTTCAACGTCTCTCTTCAAAGACATCTATTCGGCTCTATTAAAACCGCACTACTACCTCTTTAAATTCAATCCCTTCACCATAACTGCCTACTTAGAACCATCATAACTTCCTCTTTCAAACCATTTTCAATCCTATCTCTTCTTCCTCATTACATTTTCTTATCTTTTCTCTTTTCACCGAAATAAACGATGGTTCGAAGGAGAAACAGAGGTGGTGATGGTGCTTTTTCCTATCTTCTCTCACTCCCTGATGAATTGCTGGAACAAATTCTGGCCGCTACAAACCCAACTATAAGGGAAATAGCCCGCCTCCGTGCTGTTTGTTCTCGTTTCAACCGTATCGGCAGAGGAGTATTTGGGCAGGCTCACGGTGCAAAACCGGAGGAGGTTGAGCCGGTTGTTGCTGGCCGATGTTCCACACGGATGGAATTTCGATTTGCCTGTGGATTTCACTGAGAAAGCGGCTGCCTTTCATCCGAGATTCCTTGCGCTGTACACCTGTCAGTGCGGGGTTATCAATTATGGCTTCAGTGGTTTAGAGAAGACTTTAAGCAGCCAAAGTGCACAACCTGTTTCTGGGCCCAAGAGACCCAAAGGTTCTTCCGCTTCATTAGGAACGTCGTTCCAAGCTGGCCGGTCATGCTCGATTGGTGAAAGCCGTAATCTTAGTATTTGGTTGCATTCGTGTGTCGTTGATTATTTATGTTGTCTTAGTGTTCCGAACTACAACTGATGTTTTTGAAATTGCTTGTCTGCTTTCGTTTTTTAGTACTTATGTTGATTTATGATATTTTTAGTACTTATGTTGATTTTATCATAGCTCTTACCATTTACATAAAATATGGAGAATTAAGCCATTCGAAATACATAAATGAAAGTGCCAAGATTTCATTTCGTCTAGGGCAGTTATTAATTATGTACACCTATTCACTGTAATTATTTATGTACACCTATTATAGTATACATATTACACTATACCTATTCACTGTAATTATTTATGTACACCTATTACAGTATACCTATAGACGTACACCTACAGGTTGAAAATAAAGTAACATTACACCTTTTTAAAGAACGATGAATACGGGAGCGTAAACGTACACTAACATTGGTATACGGGTTCGTAAACGTACACCAACATTGGTATACGGGTTCGTAAACGTACACCAACATTGGTATACGGGATTGTAAACAATTTTTGGACATAAGGCTGTATTTAAACTTCATATTTATTTTTGAAATAACCACAACATCTAACAATAGCACATTGATACTAAATCATTTTTGCAAAGCGTTCTGCCGAACATCTAAGATAACAATTTTCACATCTATATGGGATCATAAACGTACACTAACATTGGTATACGGGTTCGTAAACGTACACCAACATTGGTATACGGGATTGTAAACCCTTTTAGACATAAGGCTGTATTTAAACTTCATATTTATTATTGAAATAACCACAACATGTAACAATAGCACATCGATACTATAGCATTTTTGCTATTTTTTCTGCCGAACATCTAAGATAACAATTTTCACATCTAACAATGTAATGCACATTCTCGTGATACACTTCGCACGACGCAGAGTAGTCTTCATGAATGAGACTAGGGTACCTGAACGTTTTCTCGTATGTATGTTTATTACGTGGGCAAAATGACCAGAATAAATATACTATATCTTCGACGACTTCAAGAATTTCACGAGAATCATGAGGATAGTGGTACCTGAAAACCATCTTTAGAAGTTTCTTCCCTCTGTTAGGGCGACCCACGCACATTTGCAAAATGGCACAGCTGTAAGTGGCATAGACGTCTGATGGAACGAGCTTATTTAGCATCCTGATGGCGGTATAGATCTTCTCCTCTGTTGACACGAACCTTATAGCTTCGACCAATATGGCCCGTGGATTTTTTGACGCTAAGCAGCGCAGGAATAAAGACCGATATACTCCACCAGGGTATATCCGAGATGGTGTGTCATGCAATGTCCATAGGTATGCCGATCTGAGTACTTCCGCGCTAAACGCAATGTCTCTACCACGGGTCCCTGCCAGAATAATCGGTCCAAGGTAGATGCAGTCAGACTCAGCAACTTTCTTGACAATGATTTCGAAAATATGATCTGGTAAATCTGGTAAATCTGGCATTTTTTGGGAAGAATATAGGGTTTGTGTAGGGTGAACTTTCTTCGCAATTTTATGAAACTATATATTGAATTGGATGGGTAGTTGTAGTTGAGTAACAGTTAATGGTAAGACAATTAGCGTGTAGTTGAACAGAAGTAATATTACAATAAGTTTGTGAAGTGATGTTTAATAATATCGTCAAGTGATGTTCACTTAGTTTCCACCTTAAATTTATTACAAAAATTAAACTAGTACTTGCAAATAAAATAACTAAACTAAAGTAAATATCTTATGCGCAGAGCCGTGCATTGTAGAAGGCAATACTCGCAGTCTGGTGTATTTGAGCCATCGTAATGGTCATCTACACACTCCGATATAGGTTCTTCTTGTAGTGTGATGGGGAAGGTCCAAAGGCCACCCCACGGATCTTCAAACGGCCCCAGTGCGAACTCCCATATGTGACGTATAACGGCGTGCGCTAACAGCTTCATTTCATAAGCGGCATAAGGGACGTGGTGAGTGAATACATCGGTGAGGAGTTTTTTAGCCCTTCGTGGACGACCAACACAAATTTCAAACATGGCACATGCGAAAGTAGCATGTTTATCACATGGGACAAGTCGGTTAAGCATTGTAATCGCTGAATACAATCTTTGCTCACTCACGGCAACTCCAATGGCTTCGAAATAAATAGCTCGTGGATTACAGGCGCCAAGACAACGCTCAAAGAATGGGCGGTAAGGGCTCCTAGGGGATACGTCGAGCGGTGTGTCAACCAATCGAGAGATGTCTGCAGAGCGTAACACGTCGTCGGTCAACGCGATGGCTCTTCCACGTTTTCCTGCGCGAATAAAGGGGCCAAGATGATAGGAATCATCCTCAGCTAGTTTCTTTACTATTAACCCTAAAACATCATCGTCTAAGTAGTGCATTGTTGTTTCATTTTGGTGTAAAATAAATTTCATTCCCTTTATTTGTAGACAAGGTAAGTGGATAGATATGTAAATGTCCTAATTCGTGGTTGGTATACAGATAAGAGCCACTTCAATAACTGCTAAACTGACCCCAACACGTCGCACTACATTATAAATGTAACTACTAGTTTCGGGCATTTTAATAAAAGAGAACTGACCATTATAAAAAATTGGTGGTACAAAACGGGTAGGTGAAATATTTACTAAAAGGGAGTACACTATTATATTATTTTCGACCGTATAATAAATTCTCCACCCCCCAACCACACACCAGTGAAGTCCATATATGATGATTTTGCTATGTCTTAACAAAACTTGCCTCCTTTCCAGCGAAAAGAAACCCTAAACCAAACATAACAAACCCTAAACCGAACATGTCGCTCCCAGACTTGCCTGATGAAATTCTTATCAAAATCCTCAAGAGGCTCGGCAGCGAAGCATTTTGGCGACTCGGACCATTTGTGTGCGCTGGAAAGCGCACCCTCCGGCTTGTTTTCACCGACGATGTCCTCAAAGCTTCCAACATTTATGCCCTTTGCTGTGTCCCCAGCGACATATGCCCTGGAAAGGAAAGACGCCCATTCTTTCTGAAATGTGTGGCGAGTGGAAACCCTGAGGCAAGATACTGGGAAGGCCTGAGACTTGCAACCAGAGGCGCAGATCTCATTGCAAGTACGACGATGCTGGAACCAAATGTTCCCACCGACGCTCTCTCCACCCTGGCGTCGGCCATGTTCAGCGTTTGCTTGGGTGACCCTTGTTCCGCAAGCCAAACATTGCAACTGTTGGCAACGCATCACGGAAGTCTACAGTCAGAGCGCGTGCGACAATTAGGTGAGGAGTTAATTCTTGAGATTTCATATTACGGAACTGCATACATGGATACGTACTCAAACTCATTTTCATATCCAAACGACGACGTCATCAAGCTGCCTGATTGTGCATTTGATCATTTCGAACCTGAGATCCGAGTACTTTGCAATGGGTTCTTCATATATTGGTGTGCTAGGCGTATCTGCGAAATGCTTTAAAAATAAGTTTATGCTGTACACCTTTGAAAGTGTACACTAGTATGTGTACACTATATGAAGTGTACACATATATTTCCTTTTTAGTATGTAATGAACAATCTTTGAATTAATATTCGATGACTTATGTTTCATGAAATCGTTCGACAATTTATGCTTCGACAATTTATCAAATCCTAAACATAAAAACCACATTAAAAAGTTAATTTGAAGTCATAATGTTTCCAACAAACAAAATAGAGGTCTTATTTTTTTCCAAAACATAATACACAATTTAACAAACATAATTAAAATTACAATTAAGGAGTTTATGCTCCTCCGGCGTGCTCCACCGTCCACGCAAGTGCAGTGGTTTCAAAAGCAGCCCTGTCTTCCACGTAAATCCTAGCAATTTCTTCAACAAAAAAGTGTCCATCCCCTATTTGTGGGGCAGTTAACATTTGGTGTATTTCCGTCAGTACCTGATTACATATACATGTAAACACAGTTAATCCCTTATTTAAACAGAATTAATATTATATTCCATAAAACACAATAACGATTTATTTCTTTCATATGTAAAAATACATCATTGATGCTGTTGTTGGTCTTGAAGTGAGTTGGGTTCAACATCTTCAGAAAAATGTTCCCATAAGTTGTAAAGTTTGGGTGATAGACTTTTGTTTTGAACATCACCTGAAAAAAATTAGTGTTATTAGTAATTGAAATCTTTATTGACTAAATCCTAAACCCTAAAAATACAGCAATTTGAGAAAGCAATGATATGCTTCCATCCTTACCCTAGGAGGCGCGAAAGGGTAGTCAAGCGGAAAGTGAATGTCTAGTTTGAAAACACCATAGGGTGAACCTTTAGGCCCGTTATAATAGCTTCCCAGTGATACAAGTCCTCACCCACAGGTCCTAATGAAATCGGCAAAACACTAATTAGGTAGACGATGTAAAAGACCGATCCTGAAAAACTAAAACTAAACTAATCCCCTATTTTCAAATGAACCATCAAATACCTGTACTGAAACATGGACTGTTTTTCCTCTCCACTTCCTTCAATTGCAATGATATCACTTTGGCAGAGTACATTTTTAGAAAGTAAATATTAAATTTCTGTGTAATTAACTTTTGCTGTTATTAACTTTTTCTGTCTCCGGAAACTTGTTTCACTAAAGAAGAAGGCAGGGGACAGTTTTTATAGAGGACGACAGGAAAAACATTATAAACTAAAGAAGGGAAACGAGTCGGTCAAACGGTGCAACAGGTTTCAAAAAAGGTACTTAATTAGTTTTTGTCGTTTCCAATTTGATTTTTTTGGGTCGCGTTTATTCCTCATACACTGGTTTCATTAAAGCAATTTTCAAAATCGTAATGACTTGCTTTTTGAAAAAACGTTTATTCGAGCTGTCCTATCCTACAATTTCAATTCAAAGACACGATCATTGTCCGTTGTTTATTCGAAACATGTCTTTCATAATGTTTTCTTTCTCTGCTATAGAACCATGTCTTTGATAATTATTTTGATCCAGAACCATGTCTTTGATAATTATTTTGATACCAAAACCCTACATCGTAAACCCTAAGCCCTAAACCCTAAACCCTAAACATAACCCCTAACGTCCATACACATAAATTTATATGCGTCACCATATAAATGTAAACTTATAAATAAGCCATAATGCAAATACACTATATGATGTAAACTTGCCTATGTTGTCCACCATCAGAGTGTACACAAACTGTGTCCACCGTCAAGGGTGTACACCCTTGACCAGTAAACATCATCATTTTCATACCAAATTTAACATAGTTCATGCCTTTCCGAGTTTAAATATAGGGAAACATAGTGTACGCTAGAAACAAACCCGAAAAACAAAGCGAGATCACAGTGTCCACAAACTGTGTCCACCGACAAGGGTGTACGCATTGTGTACACCCTGTCCAGTAAACATCATTAATTTCATAACAAATATAACATAGTTCATGCCTTTCCAAGTTTAAATAGAGGGAGGGAAACATAGTGTACGCTAGAAACAAACCCGAAAAACAAAGCAACATCCCCACACAAAAAGCAACATGACACACACAAAAGCCACACCCGGTCAACCCAATGGTCCCTTGCATTTTGCCCGGTTATGGCCGGGATTTCCACATCTCGAGCATTTGTTTGGCTTCTTTTTTTCGCAACCTGCAACAGCGTATATCAGTAATCATTAATCAGTAATCAGTATCACTGGGAAAAAAATATATGTTTAGTGTACACTAACCTGAGGATACTCTCCTGCTGAAAGTTTTCTCTTCGTCGTAGGCCTTCCTGATGGACGCTTTGCCTTAGGTGGCATAATAATAAGGTCACGCACTTCTGCTGGGATACGAATGTCGTCAGGGTCGGGCACTGGTAGGATTTTGCCAGAAACTGTTGCACTCCAAATTGATTTCTTAAGAATTGGATCAACCAAACTGCTGTATTCCACTTGGCGAAGCCTAGCCGCGGCCATTGCATGTCGGCAAGGGTATTTCAATGTCTGAAACTCTAGACATGAGCATGTTTTGTTTTCCAGATCAACAAGCCTCCGTACACCGAACTTAGAACTCACTTCAACCTCCCACAAAAAATACCTTGAACCGATAGTGCAGCAGATTTTTGCTGCTGCAAGTTCATTAACTTGTCAACCTCTTCTGTAATGTCACCATCCAGCTTTTGAATGGTCTCTCTTCTGCATTCAAGCCACCTACTTAACATTCGCCTGATAAATTCTAGCATTGCAACGATTGGACTGTCTCTTGGAGCTAATAGTGAATTGTTCAGAGACTCTGCAATGTTACTGGAGGTCATATTATACCTCTGACCAGAAAAGTGTGATCTAGTCCACAACACAAGAGAGATTTTTTCCATGTACTCCCAACAACCATAATCAACATCCTTCAGCCTTGTGTATAGTTTCTTGAAATTAGAAATTGTGAACGCTTCTCCAGCCTTTCCGACCAACCCTTTCTGACCGGAACATTTGAATTTACCGTGAACATTTCTCTGGATATGGACAAGACATGCACCGTGGTGTGACTGTGGATACCATTTCTTTTTAGCTTTGGCAATTCCACCGTGCATATCCGAGATAATAGTAAGATCAGAGGAATCTGGAATAATTTCTAACAACTTCTCAAAGAACCACCTCCACGTCTTGTCAGACTCTGCATCAACAACGGCAAACGCTATTGGAAATACCTGGTAATTAGCATCTTGTCCACTGGCCGTTAATAGACAACCCTTATACTTACCAGTGAGGTGAGTCCCATCAACAACAAGTACTTGTTTCAAATGTTTCCATCCAGATATACACGCAGCCAATCACATATCTTTGATGGACATTCGGCGACTGTGTACTTCTTCGCATGCTTTTTGAATACGAACGTCACTATATTCTTCAGCGCATTGATGGCCAACGTGATTTTAAAGTGTTCCTTGTTCCTACTTTTTCCAACCCATATCTCTCCATCTTCAATTGACAAATCAAGTTCATCGAAATCCCCTGCCATTTCATCAGAGACTGGTGCCACATCCGGAAATCCATATAGTTCTGTACGTTTAATCGCTTTTCTTCAGCTCTGCACCGCCATTCTGACGCCCCTAACTGACATCACCTGTCGGAGTCTGCACAAAATCATCATCATCTCCATGGGGAGCTAGAACATTCTCACATACAGTCCTCTTTCTTCCAGGAAAATGAATAGGACTCTCCGTTAAGAAAATGGAGTTGTCCATATGGTTTGAATCAATCGGCTCACTTCCGCGAGTACTTCCACAACCGCCTGAACTACCAGAGTCATCCTTATCCTCATCAAATCCAGATTTAGAATGGAAACCCTTACCATCTGCTAGTACGTAATCATTCCACCAGTCAAAATCATAATCCGGATCATAATCATCATCAGATCGGTATTCTGCATCGTCAACATCATCAGCTTCCTTCTCTTCTGAATCTCTCGCCTCATCTGATTCCTGGGACATTTTTAATTCCAACTCAGGGTGGTGAACAGAGACAGCGTGACTTGGAACATCCGGTTTTACATTAACGGAGGTGTTAGTGCTGGCCTTAGCCGCTACTTTCTCTGATTCCTGGGACATTTTTAATCCCATTGGAGGATGGATTACAGAGACAGCTTCAGGTTGTACACCTTTGGAGGTGTTCATTGCGGCCTCTGCCTCTACTTTCTCGTCATTTGCTATCAGCAAACAATCATCGATATCTTCATCATCTGCTTCATCATCGGGTTTTCTAGACTCAGCCGAAGAAGAGGCAATGAAGTTTGTTGGCCCTAAGGACTTTCGCCGTTCCCTCGCAATTTGAACTTCAAGACTTTCCTTCCGTTTCAATCTCACCATTTCACCATTTACTGACTCCTTGAATGTGACAAATAAATTCACAGACTTGTCAGACTTATGCAGCGAAAGGAAGAATTTATACTCTCGAGGAGTAACTATTACACATGGACAGCTCCCATCACCATTAAGCTCAGCTAGAACATCATCAAACCAGTAGGAAATCTCCACCGAAACAACTCTCGTGTCTAATCCGAACTCATGCGCAATCAGATTTCTCAAATCATCTGGTCCGGACACATCTTTGCAATTTATGCACCTTCCACGACGAGATATGTCCATTTTGAAATCCCATTCTCCTGTATAGTACCTTATCCACGTTCCCGCCATAACAAGAATGAACGCATCCACTGCAATTCGCGAACACCATATCTATAAAAAACTACTGGCAAATAGCGAACACCAGACCGAAAAAAAATCGAAAATAACAATGACAAATCTATGGGTGTACAATAATAGGATTAAGTTACTAACCGTGGTTGTTGTCCTCTTGATCATCGCATAATTTCCCCTTCAATTTCAACATCTTCTGGAAAGGGAAACTAGGGTTTCTAATTTGGTTAGGGTACTTTGTTTCTTATTTTTACCAATTTATCTCCATTATCTCTAATTAACCACAATTTTCCCGCCAAAATTAAAAAGAGAATGTGAAAGGTAGTTTTTCGTGTAATTAGTTGGGTAGTTTCCGGCCCATAACCGAGGCCCAGAAAGGTGGTTTTTGGGAATTTCATTCCCAAATTTGACATCGGGCCCAAAAAACGACCCAATCACGCGCGTGAGTGCTCTCTTCCCGCCTGTTACGCGCCCGGACGTAGACTTCGCCTGGGACCCACAGTATTTTCTGAGTCTGTCTCTCTCTAAGGAACAGACTGCACTGTCTCTCTCTCTCTCAGAAAGAAGGGTAAGTTTGCCATTATGAAAATATATCTCAACCCCGACCAATTAAAACTTAAAACTACCCTTTTCTCAAATTAAAACTTAAAAACGTCCTTATTTTCAAAACAACCCTTAAAGAAAAGCAGACTAAACATATATAAAGAAAGCAGCCACAAGAAGCACTCAGTTTCTTGAATTAATACATATTGATGCTTGTGGTTCTTTTTGATGTTCATTCTTGGAGCGGTGAAAAATACTTCATCACCTTTATTTATGATTGATGTGGGTGTAGTGGGCAACTACAAGTTTTACCTTAAACAAGATGTAAGTGCACAGCAAACGCAGTAGTACTTAGGGATCGAATCCACATGAATTTGTGTGTTGAAGACTCCTAACTGATAGTAAAGATAATTGTAGACCTAATCAAATTAAAAGGGAGTTTTGGTTGTCACTAATTCTAATTAACTAAGCAGGAAATAAAACTTGAAAAGAAATCGGTTGTAAAACAATAGAATAACAGCGCTGGATTTAGGGTTCATCTCTAGGATTTATGATCTATAACATAAGGAATTTAGATAAAGAATTTTCTATGACTCTGGAACTGGATATACACAATTGTAATATTAGCCAACTATTCTCACCCTAATCATCTAATCACTCTAACTCGACAAGTAGTTTTGGTCTCTTGTCGTGAGAGAGATAGTGTAATATTTGATCAGAATTCATCTCGGCTCACGCCCCCTTTGTAGGTAGCTTTTGTCTCCTATGATGGTTAGGTCCAGAAGATCCAGTTCAGGCAATCTGATATATCACTCTCGTGGCTCTGATTAAA